GTGTATATATACCACATCTATTTTTTTTAATTTTATTTATTTTATTTTTGGCTGCGTTAGGTCTTCATTGCTGCACACGGGCTTTTCTCTGGTTGTGGCGAGAGGGGGGTTGCTCTTCGTTGCCATGCACAGGCTTCTCACTGCGGTGGCCTCTCTTGTTGCGGAGCACGGGCTCCAGTAGTTGTGGCACACAGGCTCAGTAGTGGTGGCTCACAGGCTCTAGAGTGCAGGCTCAATAGCTGTGGCGCATGGGCTTAGTTGCTCTGCAGCATGTGGGATCTTCCCAGACCAGTGCTGGAACCTGTGTCCCTTGCATTGGCAGGCAGATTCCCAACCACTGTGCCACCAGGGAAGTCCTATACCACATCTTCTTTATTCATTCATCTGTCCATGGACATTTAGGTTGCTTCCATGTTTTGGTTATTGTAAATAGTGCTGCAGTGAACTTTGGGGTGCATGTATCTTTTCAAATTATGGTTTTCTCCAGATATATGCCCAGGAGGAGTGGGATTGCACGATCATGTTGTAGCTCTATTTTTAGTTTTTTAAGAAACCTCCATACTATTCTCCATAATGGCTGTACCAATTTACATTCCCACCAACAGTGTAGGAGGGTTCCCTTTTTCCACACCCTCTCCAGCATTTATTATTTGTAGACTTTTTGATAATTGCCATTCTGACCAGTGTGAGGTGATACCTCATCGTAATTTTTAATTAAATGCCTTGTTTCTTTATTAACTGAAGATGCAGACTGACAGCCCACAGACTTGTCCTGACATGTTAAAAAATTTTTTCCCACTTTTTCTTAAATTGAAGTATACTTGATTTACAATGTTGTGTTTATTTCTACTGTACAGCAAAGTGATTCAGTTATACATATATACATATTCTTTTCCATTATGGTCTATCACAATATATTGAATATAGTTCCCTGTGCTATACAGTAGGACCTTGTTGTTTATCCATTCTATATATAATAGCTTGCTTCTGCTAAACCCAAACTCCCACTCCATCCCTCCCCCATCCCCCCTCCCCCCAAAATTGTTAATATGAACTTGAATGCCTTTGGGCAGGGAGTGGGTGGAATGAGTTGGGGCAGGTGTGGAGGGATAGTCTCAGGGTAACTGATTACAGTACCCACCACCCCTTATTGCTTACTCCTCTTTAACTCATCTCCTTTACCTGCCTGACCCCCAAAATGTATTCGAGTTTTCAATCCTTGCATAGTTTCTTAAATCTCCTCCATCCCAAGTTTATAAAAGTTACCCAGAATATATTTTGGTATATGATGTGAGGGTAATGAATCTAAGCCTTACATACTGGATGACTAATTAGATCTATGTCATTTATGAATTATACTACCATTTGTCCATAATATCATTCAAATATTCTTCCAAAACATCATTTGGAATTTTCAACTTTCTGCTGCAGTAATAGTTCAGTGAGCAGTCTTATTTTTTTTTGGAGTATAGTTGCTTTACAGTGTTGTGTTAGTTTCTGCTGTACAGCAAAGTGAATCAGCTATACATTTACGTATATCCCCTCTTTTTTGGATTTCCTTCCCATTTAGGTCACCACAGAGCATTGAGTAGAGTTCCCCGTGCTATACAGTAGGTTCTCATTAGTTATCTGTTTTATACACAGTAGTGTATGTATGTCAATCCCAATCAGTGAGCATTCTTGTACACAAATCACTGACACATCTCTAATCTCCTGACCCTAGACTCTGAAGGTAAGGTAAGGGTAAGGAACTAATTAGTTTTGGCCTTCTCTTTTGTTTATTCGCTATTCTACATGACAATACCAATATATATTATCCTAACTGGAAACTTGATCACTAGTCATTTGAATCCTTTATTTTATCATCAGCAAGTTCGAAGAGTCACCGAATGTAGGTTTTTGGTATGAGAATTCCATATGCGCAAAGATTGGTTCCAGTTCATGAAGTTATTTTTCTTTTCTTCTAAGATTTATTTTATAACCGTGTTAAGAAAAGTTCTACATCAGGGACTTCACAGCGTGGCACAGTGGTTAAGAATCTGCCTGCCAACGCAGGGGACACAGGTTCGAGCCCTGGTCCGGGAAGATCCCACAGGCCGCAGAGCAACTAAACTCGTGTGCCACAACTACTGAAGCCCGCGCTCTAGAGCCCGTGCTTAACAAGAGAAGCCACCACACTGAGAAGCCTCTATCGCAACGAAGACCCAGCACATCCAGAAATAAAATAAATAAATTTTTAAAACGTTCTACATCATTGTTGGTTAGATTACACAACAACAGTCTGCCTTGAAACCAGTATGCTGTTCTCAAGGTCATCAAAGACATTCTGTCCTTTTAGTTCTTCAGAGAAAAATATGGTTTGACTTCTAATTTACTTCTTGCCATGTAAGATTTAAAAGCAAATACTTATACATCAATTTATTTGTGCAGCAATTAATCTGTGAAGCCATGATTTGCTGTTAACTTTAATCCAAACTGCCTGTTAGCATTTCACCATAACTTTAAAACTGCACCATGTGACAGTGGGAAGGCTACTTTAGGCAAAAGAGTTATTGCCAGCAGAGAGTTGTTTCTTTTTTTTTTTTTTTTTTTTTGCAGTACGAGGGCCTCTCACTGTTGTGGAGCACAAGCTCCGGACGCGCAAGCTCAGCGGCCATGGCTCACGGGCCCAGCTGCTCCACGGCACGTGGGATTTTCTCGGACTGGGGCACGAACCCACGTCCCTTGCATCAGCAGGCAGACTCCCAACCACTGTACCACCAGGGAAGCCCAAGAGTTCTGTTTCTTTGAGCCTTCTTTGGACTGCTGTCACTTTCCTCACCAATTGGATCAGATGCTAAGAAATGGCCCAACAGACCCTCTTTGGGGCCTCTCATGTATCTGCCAGCTTCCTTTCCTGCTCACCTGGGGGCAGATAAGAGCTTCCTAAAAAATATTCTGGACTATCTACGTGACTTTCCAGCAAATTCTTTATAAAGCTGGGTAAGCTTCACCTCGGATATGGCCAGATCATCAAAATTTGAATTTTATGGAGGTCTACTTAATGAGATTCTTTCTCGTTTATGCACTTGTGAATAACCTTCCTCTTTTTGAATCTGATAGACTAGCCTGCAGACAAAAGTGCTAGAGCTGGGTTGGGTTCCCACAATTCATTTATTTACCAAACTTTTCTGGCACCACTTACTCTGGTCTGGCCTGGTAGGAGGTACAGAGATAACAACATGAAGATGCCCGGTCACAGGGGTTGCTAGCAGGGAAAACAGAATATGAAAATAAAGTGTTATGTGTACAAGGCAGAACCATAAGGACTGGCCTGTAAGAGAATCCTGGGGCCTCAGAAAATGGAGCTGTTCCTGCAGCTGGGGGATTTCCACATTCAGCCATGTGTATGGGGGACCGGCCAGGTGCCAGGCACGGTACTCAGATTGGCAACCCCCCATGATCATAAAGTTAAATTTAATGTTTACGTAAGTGCCTTCAAATCTGATGAAACGGTTTCCTTTGGAAATCCTCTACATTATGCTTTGAGTGCTTTGTCTATCACATGGAATAACTGTAAAATACGTATGGTGATTCAAATCTGGATGTCACCATCAAGAAAAAAAGAACATGTTTTCTTTGAGGACAAAAATGCCATAGGTTCATTTTTGTTGAGGAACAAGGTAGGTGGAAATCTACTTATCTACTTCCTGATAAGTAGAAATACTTTTTCAACAAAGAACTTGCCATTTAAAAAAGCTGGCAATTCATTAAAGCTAATTCCTCCTTGAAAACATTATACTAAGTGAAAAAAGACACAAAAGGTCACATTATATGATTCCATTTATATGAAATATCCAGAGCAAGTAAATCTATAGAGACAGTGGTTGTGAGAGGCTGGAAGGAGGAGAGACTGTGGAGTGACTTCTAATGGATACAAGGTTTCTTTTGGGGGTGATGAAAATGTTTTGGAATTAGATAGTGGTGGTAGCTGCACAATCTTGTGACCATACCAAAACCCACTAAATTGCATGCTTTAAAATGATGAATTTATGGTATGTAAATTCTATCTAAAAGATAAATAAATAAAAAGAAACCTGGTTCCAAATTGTTTAAATTTCTGCAACATATGCCATTGTGAGAATTATGATTGAAGAAATCTAAGTGAGCTTTTAAAAAATACATCTATTTCTGGTATCTACAGAAGCCAAAGGAAGCCATCAAAGTTCCCTGGGTGACCTTTTAAAAAAAAAAGAAAAAATTACAATAGGTACTTGGAAGCCATTTAGCAATCCTAAATGTATAATAAAGAATACTGGAAAAATAGAGGGTAAGCTCCTACTAAGAGCTAAAAGCCTGCTTGACCCATGTAAAGACAAACATGAAAAAACGAGCAAACAAAAAGCACATTCTTAAACAGAATACAACAATTCATCTCATGTTTTTAAATTCAAAAAGTTACTAGAGAAGATTTGGGAAGAGATATTAAACTAAATGCTAAGGCTGGGAAATGTTACAGACATGCTGGATTTCAGGCATTTGTGTAAACGCTCTGTGCCTCAGTTTCCCATCTTTAAATGAGAAAATAGCCCCTGATTCATAGAGTTGTGAAAATAAAATTAAAATAAGTATATAAAACTCTTAAAAGCACTTTTTAAAAATGGTAGCTATATTATTATTGGTTACCAAGGGACTGCTTTTTATTTTACTGCTTGCTTACTCATATTTTATAAGTGACCTGCAACGAACGCTATTTTCCTAAGAGGATTTATTGTTTAAAACAAACAAACAAAAACTCTGGTCGAATCACTCTCGTAACAAACGAAAAAGTGAAATCAAAGAATTGAGAGGATACGGAGAAGAAACACCTATGCGGCCGACAGGGGTAGGCGGCGCCAGCGGGCAGAAAGCGCGGCGGACCCCTCCCGGCCGGCCCGCGGCCCTCAGGCCGCCATGCTCTTCCGCTCCCGGAGGCCGGGCGGCGGAAGTCGTCACTCGCTGAGGGACCTAGCCAACGCCGCGTACCCGGCAGCAGGTTAGCCATGGCGATGGGCGGCGGCGGCGGCGGCAGTAGCAGCGGCGTCCCAGAGCCGGAAGACTCGGTGCTGTTCCGGCGCGGCACGGGCCAGGTGAGGTCGCCGCCGGCGCTGTCCCCGACCAGCCCCCTGCGCTTTTTCCCCGGCCAGTCGGCTCAGTGCGGGGCGGTGGGTCCGCATGTTTCTACATCTTTCCCCACTTGGGAGCCTCAGCCGCAGCCTCGTTCCTCGCCCAGTTTGGGCTCCCTATGACTTTGAGCCTAGGCCCTACTGCCACTCGATTGTGCCTTGGTCGTCCACCTCTCTCTCCGACTGTGAGGTGTGCGGGGGGCAGGCCAGGGCGAAGCAGGGAAACTAGTTAGGAGTCTATTGGAATAATCCCGCTGTTAGCTGTAGACAGCCGGTTACTTGGCTTCTGGATATAGTTTGAAATCAGAGGCAACAGGTTGTGCACGGGTATACGATAATAGAGGCTTGAGAGAGGAAAGTCAAGGATAACTCCAAGATTGCTCTGAACAGCTGAAAAGATGAAGTTGCCTTTTCCTGAGATGGGGAAGACTGCAAGTAAGGCAGGTTTGTAAAGGGGCAAGATTAGAACTCATTCTTGGGTGAAATGTGATTGGAGCGAGTTCGAGAGTTGGAGAGGAGAAATTCAAGGCAACATATGTGAGCAAATATTTCAAGTTTTATTGTGGGTACTGGAAGATAGAGAAATTGACCAATGGATGGAGAGGGAAGTGAGATAAAGAGGATTCTTAATTGTGTTTTTGTTTTTAAGATGGGAGAAATGTTTCTGGGCTGATAGGAAAGATCCAGTAAGGATGGCATAATTGACGTTGCAGGAGAGAAGAGAATTGTGCAAGTAACATTCTAGCGTAGTAAGAGGGAATGGATTTGGTCTTCGTTAGAAATATTGACAGTTGATGTGGTGACAGTTATATGGGTACACATTTGTGTGGATGGGCAGATATAGTGGCAGGAGATTATGAAAATTCTGTTTTGATTGTTGCTGTTCTCTCAGTAAAAGAAGCAAGGTCATCAGCCTACTAGTGAGGAGGGGGCAGGGGGCAGGTGTTGGAGGTTAGAGAATAGAGAAGGTAGGAAGTAAACCTCTAGGAGCGTGGATGAGTGTTGCGTTAGGGAAATCTAGGCAACATTAAAGGCCTACTTCAGATTTGTGGTTATGAGTTTAAAGGAGACTAGATAGGACTTCCCTGGTGGCGCAGTGGTTAAGAATCCCCTGCCAATGCAGGGGACACAGGTTCGAGCCCCCGTCCAGGAAGATTCCCACACGCCGCGGAGCAACTAAGCCTGTGCTCCATAACTGCTGAGGCTGCATGCCTAGAGCCTGTGCTCTGCAACAAGAGAAGCCACCACAATGAGAAGCCTTCGCACCACAACGAAGAGTAGCCCCTGCTCGCCACAACTAGAGAAGGCCCATGCACAGCAACGAAGACCCAACGCAGACAGAAATAAATAAATAAATTTATTTATTTTTAAAAAAGGAGACTAGGCAGCATGATTGTATTTTTCGCTAGCTAAATTCAAATTCAGGTGTGTGAGGGCAGACACAAAGTAAATGAATAGTTGAAATTAATAGGGTTGTAGTTTTACCCAGTATGAAGTGAGGAGGGGGTGGTACAGGGAGTTGTCTTAATGATCGATGGTGGAATTAAAGCTGGCTAAGAAAGGAAGTGAGGACATTACCATGGTGAGAAGCAGTTTAAAAAGTGTGAGGTTCACTGTTTTACCAGTCCCAGTGAAGTGATGACTGTCATCATCAGCCTACTAGAAGGAATAAGTTGCAGAGCCTAGAAGGTGGTAGTTGGAGAGTAGGATCCTTGCAGTTGAGTTTTTGGAGAGGTTATAGTTAATGCTTATAATAAAGACCATAGAAGTGAGTAGCTGAGATTGGGTACTATAAAAGGTCATTGGTAGTGAAGCATTTAAAGATGTAGCAGGGCTTCCCTGGTGGCGCAGTGGTTAAGAGTCCGCCTGCCAATGCAGCGGACACGGGTTCATGCCCTGGTCCGGGAAGATCCCACATGCTGCGGAGCGGCTAGGCCCGTGAGCCATGGCCACTGACCCTGCGCGTCCGGAGCCTGTGCTCTGCGACGGGAGAGGCCACAACAGTGAGAGGCCCGCGTACCACAAAAAAAAAAAAGCTGTAGCAAGGGTAGGGTTTTGGAGGGATCACGTACATGGGTTGTTTTTTTTTAATTATCTCTTACTTTATTTGGTTTATTTTTGAGTAATACTTTTTTATTGTTATTTATTGTTATTTTATTGTTATTTATTTAATTATTTTTTTGCCTGCATTGGGTCTTTGTTGCTGTGCACAGGCTTTCTCTAGTTGGGACGAGCAGGGGCTACTCTTCGTTGTGGTGCGAGGGCTTCTCATTGTGGTGGCTTCTCTTGTTGCGGAGCATGGGCTGTAGTGCGCAGGCTTCAGTAGTTGTGGCGCACAGCCTCAGTAGTTGTGGCTCCTGGGCTCTAGAACTCAGGCTCAGTAGTTGTGGTGCATGGGCTTAGTTGCTCCACGGCATGTAGGATCTTCTCACACCAGGGCTCGAACCCATGTATCCTGCGTTAGCAGGCGGATTCTTCACCACTGCGCCACCAGGGAAGTCCCTGTACATGGGTTTGTTTGTTTTTTTTTTTGTGGTACGCGGGCCTCTCACTGTTGTGGCCTCTCCCATTGCGGAGCACAGGCTGTGGAGCACAGGCTGCGGACGCGCAAGCTCAGCGGCCATGGCTCACGGGCCCAGCCACTCCGCGGCATGTGGGGTCTTCCCAGACTGGGGCACGAACCCGTGTCCCCTGCATCGGCAGGCGGACTCTTAACCACTGCGCCACCAGGGAAGCCCTGTACATGGGTTTTTAAATAACCAAAAATTATGACAGGATTAGTGTTGGAGGGAGTACTGGGATATAAACCTCAATGAATGAGGAAGAGTGACCCAGGAAGATATAGATGATTACAATGAGGAGGGATAGTGGACAGTGGAGTTTGGTGACGGGATTTTCAAACCTGGGAGTTTTTAGGGAGGAAGAATAATCTGGAAGTGGAAGTGAGGAACAAGGAAGATTACTTCCCCACCTCTGGTGCAGTAATTTGAGGGATATGGGGAAGAAAACATTTCATTTTGAAATGCCTGCAAGGAAACAGGTGGGCTTCTCCTGGCGACTGAGAAACAGATATAAAGGCAGTCCTGATGGTCTTTTCTCTTTGCTATTGCTGTGTAACAAATCACCCAAAACTTAGTGGCTTGAAGTAATAATCATTTTTTATTCTCTCTCATAGTTTCTATGGGTCAGGAATTTGTGAAGGCCTTGGTGGGCAGTTCTCCTTCAGACATTTCGTGTAGTTGCATCCACATAGTAATCGGAGCTACAATAGCTGGGGACTGAGCTGATAGGGATTGACAGGCCATCTCTTTTCTTCATGTTGTTTCGGCTTCTCCATGTGGTCCCAGTGTGTGGGATGGTTTGATTTCCTTACATCCCTTTGTAATCCTTCCCTTTCATCCCTCCTCATCTCCTGTCCCCAGACAACTGCTGATCCATTTTCTGTCACCATCGATTAGTCTGCATTTTCTAGAATTTTACAAATACGGAGTCTTTTTTTATCTGGCTTCTTTTACTCAGCGTAGTTATTTTGAGTTTCATCCATTTTCTTGTGTATATCAGTCATTCATTCCTTTTCATTGCTGTAGGATCCTGTTGCATGAATATACTACAATTTGTTTATCCATTCACTTGTTCATGAACATTTGGGTTGCTTTCAGTTTGGGACTGTTACAAATAGAACCACCATGAGTATTAGTGCAGAAGACTTTGTATGGGCATATGCTTTCATTTCTCTTTGGCAAACACCTAGGTCATGGAGTAGATATATTTTAATTTTTTTTCTTTTTTCTTTTTTTCCCATGCCTTGTGGGATCTTAGTTCCCTGACCAGAGAGTGAACCCAGGCCCATGGCAGTGAGAGCACAGAGTCCTAACCACTGGACCACTAGGGAACTCCCTATTTTAATTCTTCTGTTTTTTAAGTTAAATTTTATTGTTTTTATTTATTTTTATTTATTTATTTATTTTTGGCTGCGTTGGGTCTTTGTTGCTGCGCATGGGCTTTTTCTAGTTGTGGTGAGTGGGGGCTACTCTTCATTGCGGTGCGCGGGCTTCTCATTGCGGTAGCTTCCTTTGTTGCGGAGCGCAGGCTCTTGGTGCGTAGGCTTCAGCAGTTGCAGCATGCAGGCTCAGTAGTTGTAGCACACGGGCCCTAGAGTGTGTGAGCTTCAGTAGTTGTGGTGGCCTGTGGGCTCAGTAGTTGTGGCTCACGGGCTCTAGAGGGCAGGCTCAGTAGTTGTGGCGCAGGCTCACGGGCTTAGTTACTCCGAGGCATGTGGGACCTTACTGGACCAGGAATCGAACCCCTGTCCCCTGCATTGGCATGCACATTCTTAACCACTGCACCACCAGGGAAGTGCACTATTTTGATTCTTTAAGAAGCTGCCAGACTTTTCTTCAAAGCGATTGTACCATTTTACGTTTCAACAAGCAATGTATGAAAAGTTCCATTTGTTCCACATCCTTGCTGACACTTGGTATGGTCAGTCTTGTTAATTTTAGACATTCTGATATGTAGTGGTGTCTTGTTGTTGTGGTTTTAATTAGCATTTCCCTAATGACTGATGATGTTGATTGTCATTTCATGTGATTATTTGCCATTCATGTATCTTCTTAGGCAAAGTGTCTGTTCAAATCTTTTGCCCATTTTTAAATTGAATTATTTTTTGTTGAGATTTGAGAGTTTTTTGTGTGTGCTAGATACAAAACCTTTATCAGATAGGTAATTTGCAAATATTTTCTCGCAGTTTGTGAGTTCATTCATTTTTTCATTCTGTTAACAGTATCTTTTTGAGGATTCCCTGGCAGTCCAGTGGGTGAGACTCCACGCTCTCACTGCCAAGGGCCCAGGTTCAATCCCTGGTCAGGCAACTGAGATCCCACAAGCCGTGCAGTGCAGCCAAAAAAAAGAAACACAACAACTGAGTCTTGCTGCTTGAAGGACAGCTAGGGTGTATGTAAAAT